ATAATGATGATGATAATAATAATGATAATAATAATAGTAATAATAATATAATAATAATGATAATAATAATGATAATAATATAATAATAATAATAATAATAATAATAATAATAATAATAATAATAATAATAATAATAATAATAATAATAATAATAATTATATATAATAATAATAATAATGATAATATAATAATAATGATGATAATAATAATAATAATAATAAAACAGTAATGATAGTATCAAAAATAACAACAATAATGATTAAGAAAATAATGATGATAATGATAATAATGATGATGATAATAATAATAATAATAATAATAATAATAATAATAATAATAATATTAATAATAATAATAATGACAATAATAATAATAATAATAACAATGAAGATCATAGTGTTGTTAGTAATAACGAGGATAATAATGATGATAATATCAATGGTAATAGTTTTAATAATCAAAATAATTGCAGATAAAAGTATTATTATTAATAATGGTAATAATGATAACAATGATGATCATCATGATAGTAATAATAATGATAATAACATTAATAATGATAATGAAAATAACAGTCATAATGATAATGATAATAACATTCATAATGATAATGATGATAATAATGGAAATAATAATAATGATAATAATAATAATAATAATAATAATAATAATAATAATAATAATAATAATAATAATAATAATAATAATAATAATGATAATAAAAAAATAACAATAATAATGATAACAGGAATAATAATGACAATAATAGTAAGAGGGTCAAGGACTACATCCCGAAGAGCAAAATGGAAGCCGGAGAAAGCCGAAAGGAACAAGAGATCTACTATGAATAGTTAAAATAATTCTTCTGGAAGTGATAAAATGGAAGAAGAAAGTTGTCAGCGGCATGGGTGGATTATCGGAATGCGTACGACAAGATCCCACTCTTGGCTAATGGAATGTCTGGAGGCACAGAGGTTCGAAATCTGCTAAAAGAGACTCAGGAATCACGGGGAGTTGAGATAATGCGCAGAAATGAAATATTAGGAGTAAGAATAAGGAGAAGGGCCTCTCAAGGGATGCGTCATTACCTTTGTTGTCTGCCATACAAGCGTCTTGAGAAAAGCAGCATTTGGGTAGGAGCTTGCATCAGATAAGGCCAAGATGAACCATTTGCTGTATGTGGACGATCTAAAATTGCCAGGGAAAACAAAGATCTTGAATCATTACTACAGACAGTCAAAACTTTCAGCTGACATAGGAATGGCATCTGGCCCCGAGAAGTGTGCATCACTTATCATCAAGAGAGGAGAGATCGTTCAGTCTGATGGCATTACTTTGCCAGATAACAAAATGATAAGGAATTTGCAAGAAAACGAAAGTTGCAATTGCCAGGTATTCAAGAGCTAGATGATATAAAGAGATCAGAGATGAAAGAAAAAGTCAGCAAAGAGAATAAGCGTAGAGAGAGGAAAGTGCTAGAGACAATATTGAATGGAGATAACATCGTTAAAGCAGCCAATACATGGGCTGTTCCCGAGGTCAGGCACTCTGCTCCCTTTCTAGACTGGAGGAAACAAGAGATTCAAGAACTGGATAAACGCCCTGGAAAGCTAATGGCGATGCACAAAGCACTCCATCCAAAAGGCAATGTAGACCAGCTGTATATTTCACGAGACGAGGGTGGAACGGGACTTTTCAGCGTGGAAAATACGAGAAACGTCAAAAATCGGACTAGAGAGGAACACAAAGGAGAACAAGGGGCGACTCCTGAGTGCAGCTAGAAGATCAGGCTTGGAAGTAAATAGAACAATAAAAGAACAATAAAGATCGAAGATCAAAATAAGGCAAGGAAAGCTGGGAGAAGGGAGTCCTGCATGGCCAATCTATTCGACAAACTGAGGAGATTGCTTGAGAAGAAAGGTGGGAACGGTTACAAAAATCGGGACATTAAGAGGATAACAGAAGCTCTCATCCTCGCAGCCCAAGAGCAGACCCTTTGGACGAACTCATCAAAGCCAAAATCGACAAAACGCAGCAGGACAGAAAATACCGAATGGGCGCTTGGGTTGAAGAAGAAACTGGCGGAGAGCAAAAGAGCTAGGACTTGAGGAAGGCCTTGAACATTTAGGAGACGCTGTCGCTAATATCAAGGAGACATTACCACTGAATGAAATGAGATACTGTCAATGTGCGATAATTCAATAATAATGATAACAATAATGATGATGATGATAATGATAATAATAGTAATAATGATAATAATAATAATGATAATAACAATAACAACAACAACAACAACAATGATAATAATAATGATAATAATAATGATAATAATAATAGTAATAGTAATAATAGTAATAATAATAATAATAATAATAATAATAATAATAATAATAGCAATAACAATGATAAGGATAATAATGATAATAATGGTAATAATGGTTATTGTAATGATAATGAAAATAATAATAATGATAATAATAATGATAATAACTATAAT